TCTCTACAGCTTAATTGCCACTATGCAGACCATTAGGGGAAAAAAGGTAATGTATGACTACTTGATAGAGTGGAGATCAAACAAAGCTTACACATTTAGTGTGAAAGATTCTTCCCTGCCCTTCTTTTACCCCTAGACATATATCCATTAGATTATCACCTATTAAAATAAAGAGATAAAATATTATTGTCGACAATTTTTGAAAATAAAAACGAGCAGTTTCATAAAAATGAAATTTATAAATTAAATTTTGCTGAAAAAAGTTGTCCAAAAATTGTGCCTGGGGGTTTGGATATAAATAAAATTATTCTTTGTAAAAATACACACGTATTTTTCTCCTCAAAAATGCGACAGAACTTAATGTGTCACCTGATGTACTCAATGTTGTTGTAATTGCATGTATTATTTAACCTCATGTAAAATTAGTAATTTTTATTATAATCGCTATTGTTCATTATAAATTAAATTATCGTATAAATCTTCCTCATTATATAAAAATAGGAAACAATTTTGCTTTTTTTCAAATCTTTATGCTCGAAGATAATTAAATAGTAATAAAAAAATTAAAGGAGTACAAAGTACATACTCCATTTAAAGGAATGGAATTTATTAAAAATTGAATATATATCAATTTGAGCAAGAAAACCTTGTTTTCGCTTTAGCTTCAAATACTTATTTATCAAATTTTCATTTACTACTTTTATAATGAACATTATTTTCAAACACAATGCTAGTAAAATTTTTCAAAATTCACAATATTACTTGTTTTACATTATATAAATTTCAGATACACGAAAATGAAACGTTTTATAAAGTTCTGATAAAAATCAATTACATGTTAGTAACTATTTTATAAGATGACTAATTATTATGAACATAAAAATAGTTCATGTTTAATTAATACCTAAGAGGAAAACTAATTATTAATAAAATTTTCAAGACAAAAAAAAATTTGCCAGAAAGTTGAAATAACATTTTAAACCATAGGTTCTCAACGTGGGCGTTTGAGGCTTTCAGGGGGGCAGTAAAAGACTCGAGAGAAAATTAGGGGGCGTTGATACGGCACGGAGTGGGGTCAGCAGATTAACCAAATATAGTCTAAAAAAAGACTAAATAATAAAACAATGATTATGTACTAACAAAAGTAAACTTTGATACTGGTTACCTTATGTTGATTGAATGTATTTAAATCATTTCTATCACGTCTACGAAAATTCACATATTTCGGTAGTTCGGAAGGTAGATCAAAAGCTTAAAGATTACATTAAATTCAGACCTACATTAAATTGAATGCTATAGTAAATTTTAATTTTATATAGTGTAATGTTGTCTTTGTCTGTGAGTAGTAGGAAAAATGTTTCATCCACTGAATTTTATTACGTATATTATCCAAGAAATATAATTAAACACTTTAACCAGGAATTAACGTGTGATTCTTTAAAGGCGGAAACTGCCTTTTTTTTTTATTTTGAAAGCAATAGTTATTGTGCATTTCTTCATATCACCAAAACCTTCTTTCAAAAGCGTCTTTATCACATGTATATAATCTAAAATATTTATTCCTCTCTTTTAAATAAAGAAGAAATTCAATAACGTTTCAATTCCAACAATATCTATCCAAAACTAAAATATATAACATTACACATTTAAATATATTTGTTGAACTAGCTATTTCAGATTCACAAGTAAAAAAAAAATTTTAAATGTATTCTATTATTAATAGAATATTTTTTAAATTCTTGTTTTCTTCATCATGTATTATATACGCTCTTATTTCTCTAGAGTGGGAGGGGGTGGTATATCGAAATAGTCACTAGAAAAGGGCCCGCCAGTTCAAAAAAGGTTGGGAACATATGTTTTAAACATTAGTTATAAAAATTTTCTTGGAGATTAAAATAATTTTAAAAAATTTGTCTGTTTTAAATAAGTAACCTCATTATACCATATATTGGCAATAAACTTTCTATTCTGAGATACGTTCAGGTGACGAGGATTTCATATGAACCCTTCAAATAAAAAAAATTTAAGATATTGTTATTTATACAGGAAAAATATTGTGTTTTTAAAAGGTCTTGTGTGTAACCTAAAAGTACACATCAAAATGCAAAATATTATCATGGAAATAACATTAAACCAAAACAAAGAAACATATTAGTTGTAAAACACATATATTATGCACATTGTACAGTTAATTTAAGTAAACCATTAAAGATAACACAAGTACACAAAGTTGTTAAAAATCTCCAATGCGTTGTTTTGAAAATTAAAACAATATATACAGCAAACAAACAGTAACGTACCATTAAAAAAACATGTCTAAGTATTTGTTATTCACCACATAAATACTCTAATAGTAATTTCTCTCTTAATAATGTATACAGAGATTTGAGAAATCCTACAGCGTGCATAAAAATTACCATCCTCTTTCTTCAGAGGCACTTAAAATTCCTTTTGAATTTTACGCCAAATGTAATCCAATTTGTGTTCAGAAAACATAAAAACGTGCGTTTATATATGCATACACAAAGATCCCTTCTAGTTATTTTCTAGAGTAGAATGCCAAGAAGATTTTTTCGACTTGATTCACGTCTAAAAATATTGAATTTTGAGAAGAAATACCTTGGTACAATAAAGAAAAAGCTGAAAATCTTGCAAATGATTCAATAGATTCACTGTATTGGAAACAAAATGGGATATTTTCTTAAAATATCCGTTTTGCTTACATGAACTTTCTCGATTTATCAAAAAAGTAAGTCTCTAGAAAAGACAGCTCATAATATTACCGTTATTTGATTCAGCTTATCTGTCTGTAAAAATTTCGTATAACGAATTAAAATTTTAATTTCATTATGCATGAAGACATATTTGCTATGTCTTCTGGTACCCTGATTCATTCACTACTTTTAACATCAGTCGAATTGTATGATGTTCTCCTGATTCATATTAATTCATGCAATGAAACAATAAATTGCTTCTAATATGACGTATTTAAAGTTATGGATAGAAAGGAAAGAGAAAAATCGAAAGAAATAGTTGAAAAGCATGAAATTGTACTTCTGTATTTTCCCAAGAAAAGATCTAATGCTCCCGAATTTAAGGATTAAGCAGTTGTATTTGAATTACTTATTCTGAAAAGAAAGAATCGTAATAACCTACTTGGTATAAAGGCTCTAGAAGATTTCGTGCAAGCCATAAATATCTATCTCTTATTATTTGGAACATCAACAATAGGATGTATCGGAATCCAATTGTTCAATACTCTTATTCAGTTTGCAGGAGAAATAAATTCTCGGCTTAGAAACTCGTGAATAAAATGCCAATGATTTCAGAAGCGTCCAAATGTGTGTTAACTTCCCCAAAGATACTGAAAAATATTTAACTGATTTAAATCAGTTGATGGTGGACCGTAATTTGAAGAATCAAATATTATTAAATACCATGTGTGTGTGTTCGTAATAATTCACTTCAATTTTCTCAGGAAGAATTTTAATTCAAAATGGTCTTGATCCCTCCAAGACTTCACGTGAAAATTTTATTTTACCCGTCTAACGGAAAATAACCACAACTTTATCTCCCCCAAAAATTGAAACATTAGCTTGTTTAAAACAGGAGACGCAATATTGCATCACCCCCGTAATCGGACCAATCAGAAAATCTTTAACGGAAATCATATGATTCTAACAGCTTTCCATTGACCCAAACTATAAAGAGCTGAATTCTTGAGGGCAAAAAAGAAACGCCTTTGGGAAATGTCTTAGATGTGCTTGTATTGGTGTTATTCTTTTTGTGTTGATGCTTTGTTTATGCTTGTGATCATCAGTGTAAACGTGGGTTTTTATTATAAGAATTATCTTCATCCTTTCCATGACTACAACAACCTGATAAATATTACCTTAATACAAAAATACCTTAAGCCAAGTCTAAGAGTATCACATATATTTGTTCAGTATTGAAAATCATTTTATGCATAATAAATTTCATAATACTGTATGGAGAAGCATTTATGAATAAATTACCGTATAATTAACATAAAATGTGTGGTGTGTAAATCAAAAAGTACATTAAAACTTTCACAGTGTTCTATAATTTTATTAAACACATATATATTCTTGATTCTTTCTTTTTTTTCTAACCGATATAAATATTGAATAAATAAAAAAATTTAACACATGAAAAAAAAACATTCGCTGTATAAACTTGGCTGAAATTTTACAATTGTGTGTATCAAAAGTTTTTTTAAAAAACTTTAAATATATGCACTAATTTTGTGTAAAATAATGTTAAAATCATGGTACATATGTGTAAGCTCAAAGAATATAACATTAAGAGCAAAATTCGTTTGTTATCTAAATGAAAAATCTTATCACATCCCTCAACTAATGAAAAAAAAAAAAGAAAATGCCTGATTAATGTTGATTTAGCATCGTAAGTTTAAAAAAATAAGAGTTGAAAGCTTTCTCGGCAAACTTAAGTGAAGCAAAACGCAAGAGCTGTAACACTTCATCATGGAATAATTTCCACATAGCACTTTGCCAGTTATACAAGACTCTTCAATTTAATCATTTGATTGATTTACGATTCAAGTCGAATTTAAACATTTTATTTTTAGTTAGTTCTTGGCTCGACCTATCCTGACTTAAAATATCTTTCTACTTATTGCGACTACTTGATTATTATGGTATGCATATCAATTTATTTCAAATAGCTGTATGCTTTATTCATTAGAGCAGTAAAAGTTTTTTTTAATTCCTACTATTAGTTCACTCTCTCCCTATATATATATATATATATACCTTGTTCAAATTTTTAACGTTAATAAAATACTTTCTATTCATCCATTTTTCAAGTTCAAATACATTTTTTTAACTTGTAAGGAATGGCATTTGATGTTAATAGTTTTTTCAAATATTAATTCAGTAATTAAATTAAAAAATTAATAAATAGTAACAAACAAAAATAATAGTCCAACAGCATGCATAGGAAGGGAAATCGTTCGTTGTGTTCCTGTAGCGCTAGGTATAGCGCGTTGGACTTCTAATCCGAAGGACATGGGTTCGAATCCCATCTGGATGGCCTAATTTCTGAGAATGTGATTTCTTTTTTACTAAACTATTTTATAAGAATAATTAAATATAATTAAGGAATAAACAGTAACAAACGAACAAAAATAATCCCATACCATAAATAGAAAGGAAAATGGGAAATCGCTTTCTATTTTGCCATCTAATAGTGGGATTCTATCGTATGTATATACATATTTATATTAATTGTAACTATTTAATGAACAGTATCTGAAGTAAAATTTTTCTTTGCTGACTTAAGTAGGAATTGACTTAATTTTTCTTTATATTACTTTTTTACTTTTCCAAACTGTTTCTGATGCGGTAAATGATACTTGTATGGCTTCGTAAACAAGTTATAATTCAGAATCTTCTAAGATTTTATTAAAAACCATGTAATCACACACATAGTTTGCCCAATATATGATTTTTTTTTTTCATTTACAAAAGTTTGCCTAAAAAAACAAAAAAAAACAGTAATTTAATCTAATATAACTTAAAATAATGTTTTCAAACTAATCAAACTTCATTTAGAAATTATCGATGGTATATCTCCATTATAATTCTAGGTACCTCTGAATTCTACACGTATGCGTTGATAGCGTCTGAGCGGTTATATCAAAATCCATTAAGGTTATCATAATCCATTTAGAACGGAGTGAGAAAGCTGTCCAAGTATATTAAATAAATTAGATGAGATCTTTCAACGTACATGAGAAACGTTTTGAGCCAAATAGAGGATCCATGTATCAGAAAATAGTGGAAAGTTTTCTCGATTGTTCATAATTTCCTATCTAGAATTCCTTTCAGGTTCAGTCATAGCCGATCATTTAGAATTAGCTAGAAATCGTGTGATTTAAATTAATAGAAACACAATCCATCTTCCAGACATGTTTGAAAAGTCATTTATTCTGCATAATTTTTTGCTAGTCTTTAAAATCAATCTATAAAAAAATATATTATGATAGACTTTACACACACACACAGATAAAAGAAAAATCACATTATAAAAATGAATATTGAAAGAAAAATTCAGTTTAACATTATAAACATGTTATATGATTTTGTGACATTATATATTTTATAAAAAAAAACAATTAATCATTTGTATCTTCTCTTGCGAGGAAAATATCTTAAATATTGTAAAATAAAATGTCTTTTCGTATTAATTTTATATTGTTAATATATTATAACAAACTCAAAACGTAAAACTTTTCTCCAAATCTTTAAATCCTTAACATATAGAATTTTAACAAATCCACGATTAATTAATAATTATTTGGTAAAATTTAATCATATGTCAGTTAATATTTTTTTTAATCAGGGGATATCATTTTTTAAGCGATTGATTTGATTTCCCATTATTATGGTTTGGAAAAACTATTCAATGGCCCACTGTGACAACGAATATCCTTTCAAACGTTATGAAATGATCATGACTCTCTTGTTCCTCATATCATTCGTCTCTGTGTCACTGTATACCACACGAAAATATTGAAATATTGTCGGGTTTGACATTTAAAAAGTTTCTACTATACCATTTGACAACCTTTAATGGAATTAGTAAAAATGCAAGCTAAATATCATGATAAAGAAGTCAGATCCAAAGAAGAAACCAGAAGAAAAAGCTTTTTCCCTTACAGATTTCCAAGACAACCCAAAATTCAGAACTTTTGTTTCAGTTAACGTATTTTTGCAATACCTATACTTTCAAACTCAGAGTGAAATATTGAATTGTTCGGAAAGTAATTTCATTTTTCCCAACAGAGGATTTAATTGTACTTTTTCACACCCAACTTCACACTTAAGCCACATAATAATTATATGTTTTAAGAGCCGACGTAGCAAGGCTTGCTTGTGAAAATGTTTAATTGATTCTATGCAGTAGTTTTTGGTTGGTGCCTTTCAAAAATGTAGAATTAAAAACAGCATTTTCGGCATATTTTACTTTTTTATTATCTAAAAAGTAAATATGCTGTTCAAGCAAGAAAAAATTAGTTGATGTATATGGAAAAGATGTATTGACAGTATCCCAGGGCCAAAACTGGTTTACAGAATTTCGATACGGCATTTTTGACGTTGAAGATGCATCACGTTCTGTAAGACCAGTTGAAGCTGATAAAGACACAATAAAGGCATTAATGGATACAAAACTAGCAACAACTCTTACGACTTTAACAACTCTTGAGATCACTGAGAGGTTACATTTATCGAATTCAACTGCTTATGACCACTTGGAAGGCCTAGGTTTAACAACAAAGCTCGACATATAGGTCCATCATGTTCACACGGAAAGAAATTTGTGTCATCGTGTTGACGTCTCTGTGATTTACTTCTTTAACTTAGAAAACATTATCCATTTTTGAAACGCATCATCACTAGGAAAGAGAAATGGATTGTCTAACAATGTCAAACGCAAAAGACCATGAAGTAAAAAGATGAACCAGCTCAAGCATTTCGAAAGCCAATACTCATTACTTCATCGTTTATTTTCCATTGTTAAGAGTTAGATGTCATTTTAATATGAGTAAATCGAGGTTTTTTCCCCCATTCAAACAGTATTCAAAAATATTCCTGTTTGATCATTGTAAACGCATTAATGTAATAAAAATACCAACTTGTCTGAATATCTAAGCAAAAGCATAAAAGACAATTACTATTCCAATGAATACTTTATCATTGCAAATTAAAGCATAAGAACGTTAAAATTTATGCAATATTTAGAAAAAATAATGTTTATAAGTATAGTAAAAATTTCATAAAAATATAAATAATGCAAACGTTCCCTTAAAAGTATAATTAATTCAGTTTCTATATCCAATTTTGTGTCTAAGAAAACAAAACTGTATTTACGGTTCCCTTGCAAGCAATTAATTTTTCTTTCTGAATCTTAGCAGCTGCAATTAACATCTCTGGTCTTCGAAAAGTTTCTTTTTTTCCCCTTAAGTTTAACAAATAAAACTCGCTTCTTAAACCAATAATGGAAAGAAAATTTTCTGTTTGAAGCTTCTAAACATTAGCTCAACACATTAAACACTAAATCTATGAAGAATACGCTAAGTGAAGTCCAAAGAATCCAACACAACGCTTTCACTTCTTTTGTACCTGTAAGTGACGGAATTAGTTCAGCTCTGGACATAAATCAGTTGGAAAGAATAAAAATCATCGATTCCTTCAGTAACTTCAAAAACGACGTTTTTAAATATTTTCAGAAAAATTAAAAACTAATGAACAAGATGGATGGTTTCTACGGTTAAGTTCCCTCGAAAAATCTACGCAATTATTAGGTGGAGGAAGGTAGTGGAAGAGACAAGGGAAGTGAATTAATGTCCAAACCTGTGTCTATTTTCCTGTTAAGTATGCATGTCGTTGATTGATTAACAGACTGCGTTTTAAAAGATCGACGCAGTAAAGTCTATTGAAAAGAAAAATTTTGCATTCATTTATCAGCTCCTCAGGATGTATTTAAGAAAGTTCTGAATAATAATTAACTTGATCTATAAAATAATTAAAATCTGGTACACCGGTTTTATTTATTATAGTATATGCTACAGCCATTAAAAACAACTCCTAAAAATTAAAGATGTAGATAAAATCCTTATAATAAAAATATAACTGCATATGTAATGCATGTAAAATACATGTTGGAAACCCCTCTTTATTCTAGAGGCTACTTGAGGTATATTTATGAGGAGATTACACATCTTTTTAAGCTTTAAACCTATGCGCTTTCGTGATAAACTGATTTTTTGAAGAAACTCCATTTCATGCAAAGATTGGAAAAGTAACATGTTTCTATTTATATGAAAAAAATCTATTAATTATACAGAATCTCACTAACTGTGCAAATAACTTTCATGCGTAAAATTATATGTTTGTGTTTTAGATTGTGAGTGAAAAAACTATTATGTATATGAATAGTTCATTGTTTTTTAACTGGTTTAATTAATACAAAATAAAAACATTATATTTTAAAGAAACAGGTTTATGGCTGTTTTACAGTTTAATTAAATACATAAATTTCTCAACTTAGTTCTAAGCCCGTGTTAAGCAATAAACACAGCGTCGAAATCACAAACTTCCAAACTAAACCCCATGTTGAGCTGCATTAAATTATATATATGCTGCCACCTTACTTCTAGATGACGGTTAAGTTACAAATGATCGTTATGAAGTTGCAGGTTTCAGACCCGTCAGACATTGAACCACGACATAACCACCGACTTACAGCAACATGATTTTTCAATAAGAAATGTTTTACTCCAGTAGTTGAAACCATAATTACTCATTTGCGTTGATTAACGGAGTCTTTTACATCTTATATTCAAATTAATATTTTCGAAGTACAATTTGCTACTACGTATCTATTGTAATACAAATTATTTTGTTATTTTCTCTTAACAAATTTTCAGTATCAACTGAAAATTGACTATTCTCAAATGCATGTTTGTGTAAACACTGCACGATAGTTAAACAATAAACAACCCATTTATATCGACCAATGAAGTGTGTGTGTGTGTGTGTGTGTGTGTGTGTGTGTGTGTGTGTGTGTGTGTGTGTGTGTGTGTGTGTGTGTGTGTGTGTGTGTGTGTGTGTGTGTGTGTGTGTGTGTGTGTGTGTGTGTGTGTGTGTGTGTGTGTGTGTGTGTGTGTGTGTGTGTGTGTGTGTGTGTGTGTGTGTGTGTGTGTGTGTGTGTGTGTGTGTGTGTGTGTGTGTGTGTGTGTGTGTGTGTGTGTGTGTGTGTGTGTGTGTGTGTGTGTGTGTGTGTGTGTGTGTGTGTGTGTGTGTGTGTGTGTGTGTGTGTGTGTGTGTGTGTGTGTGTGTGTGTGTGTGTGTGTGTGTGTGTGTGTGTGTGTGTGTGTGTGTGTGTGTGTGAGCGAGCGATATGCGATCAAATTTTGTGTAAAGCTTGGTAAAATGGACAAAGAGACTCACGACATGAATAAGGAGGCCTATGGTGTTGCTGCCATGGGTAGATTGGGTATTTTAGAGTGGCTAACACTGTTCGAAGAAGG